GCTAGGAGAGGCTCCTGGGCCTTTCTGCCGCTGGGCAGTGGGTAGGATCGGTCACGGTCAAGAGTGGGGGCCCTCGGCGGGGCCGGGCCCCGCGGGGGAATCGAGGTCCCACGTCCTGACGGGCTCCCAGGAAGGAAGGGGTAGGAGGAATGATCGGCATTTATAACTGCGGGGAAACTCGCAGCCTTTCAAAAGAGTTTCAGCTGGGTGAGTGGAAGTGCCTTCTGCCCCTCTCACGTTTGGAAGTGCAGTGGTTCCCTGGGGGGGGGAAGCGATTTTTTTAAATTTTATTTTCTCGCTGGACAGTGGTTCTTTTAAAGCCTACAGTCACGTCCTACTGCTGCAATTAGAAACAAACTTTCCTTCTGGAGAGAGGAAGTAGCTGAGACTGAGGATCGGAAGCTAGCCAGGGGCCAGCGGCTACCCCAGCCTTTGCTGGCCCTCGCCCAGGAGCAGGGGAGGTGCTGCACGGAGGAGCTCTGGGTGCAGCACCCTGCACATCCATGGCAAAGTAACTGGCCTGAAAACACACTTGTTTCTTTCAACTATGCCCACCTTGTCCAGGACAATTTCCTTCTACAGCTCATCCCCTCAAACGTTTTCTAAACTCAGTTTCAAATGCTCATATATTTTTTTGTTATGATTTCTTTCTTGCCCTACCACCCCCTTGGTCTCAGCTTTAAAATGCGAAGCTGCTCACAGTGGGGCTGAGATCGCAGGTGCTGCCATGGGTGCCCCTGGTGAGCATCAGCAAGGGAAAATTGTGTCCCCCAGGCAAGATTACAGCACTGCTGCACAACCATGTACAGCTCTGTCCCAGACTTCTACAGCACCTACCACAGCAAAGGAGGTGTATGCAAAGTCCTTTACATATTTACTATACTAATTATTGTTATGTGCATATGGATTTTACCTCATTTTATGACTCTGCATGTGTGCATCTACAATACATGTGCGTGTGCACACACACTTATATCTATGTATATGTGTATATTCAATAGTCATGGGCCTCTTAACTGAGCAGTCATTTCTCTTCAGCTGGATGTGTAATTCACACACATAGAGATGATACCTAAGGTGTTTGGGGGTGGGGATGCATAATATCTTCTAAATTTGAAGTTTTTATCAGGCAGAGCAGATTACTTTAAGCGTTCAATTTCTCAGCGATCCAATTTTATTAGGATTTACTATCATTTGTGCTGTGCATCCCTGGGGAAATAATGCTTTGATTAATGTAATCCTGGGCTGGGATCCGCCACATGCCCCTCTCCCAAGAGAAGGGCCCTGTTTGACAAACAAAAACAGAGCAGCAACTATTGCAATCTGCACTCACCTTTCAAAAGCACACAGACCCGCGCACACACAGGCACACAAAATATAACCCCATCCTCCCCCAGCTCCAAATACAATAGCAGCATCTCAAAACAATGTGCACTTATTCATTTGCACATAATGCCTCTGATTCAGCATGGGCTGTACAGTCCAGCCCTCAATTGCACAGAGCTAGCCCAAAAAGTATTCTGCTCTATCCCCCACCGAGAAGCTGAAGCATCTCTGGGAAGCTCAATGCCTCTCTGTGTTTCAGGCTCTCCTTGGGCTCCCAACATTTCTGCCTCTTTGTTTCCCACTGCAGGCCTTGCCGCAAACGGATTTCAAGTCTGCTCCTTCAACCCACTGGCAGCCCAGGGGACCCAAGACGCTGTCCCTGAGAGGCTCCCTGGCACCCACCTGGGGGGACATGTACCTCTCTGTACGGGCACTGGTAAGTGAATCACAGCCAGGCGCTCCGCTCAGCTCATAAGGGGAGACGGGGGGACACCCAGAAAACAACCTCAAACAGAAAGTCTTCACACACATTTTTAACCTTGCCTTTGGGGGTTGCTTGGATTTGAACAGCTTTGTTCCAGCTCTCCCCCCATCCCTGCCCGCCCTAGATCAGAGCCCAGCCCCAGAGAAAGCTTTCCCTTTCTTTATATCCCTATGTGAACTGACCAGTGTTTCCCCCTTTCCTTCTCCTCCCCTCTGTCCCCCAAAAGAAACCCATCACCGGCAGCCCAAGGGGCAGTTTAACGTCGATTTTCTTCCCCCCACACATCCCGCCAAAAAAAAAAGCAAGTCCCACTGCTCCTATGGAAGGCATCCAGCCCCAAAAGAGGGCTCTGGCCACACTTGGACCACTTTATTCCAAGTCCGGATTAATAGATCCAGGGAAGGGAGGAGGGGAGGGATCTTCATGCTGGAAATGAGGAGGGATGCGGTTTGCGCCAGGATTTTCAATAAGATGCTACTCTCTCCTTCGCGCTTACCCACTGACCCCTAATACGGTGACTCAGCGATTACCGAGCACTGGGCGTCTTGTGTGTGTATGGGGAGGGGGCTTCCCCCCCGCTTCCTCCCTCTTTTCTTTCCTGATGAAAAACGATGCAATTACATTTCTGCATGCTGATCTGAGAGTTCAAATAACAAGCCTTAAACGCGTTATCAGGCGCTTGTTAAAGAAGGAAGGGGGGAGTGAGGAGGAGAGGGGAACAAATCTGGACGTATATATGCGTCTGTTCATGCCTGGGTGTACGTGTACTTATAGATGACTATACTTATATATGTATATAGATACATATTTAAATGAGAGACTGATAGAAGAAGAGATCGGTTGTAGTTCGGCCCTAAATCCCTGCACCCAGGCAGCTGAGGGAAGAGCCTCAGTTTAAAACAGCACCAACCAAAAAAAGAGCAGAAAGAGCAAGAGGCGCAAATCACTCCAGAGAAAAGTTATTCAGGAGCAATCTCTGAATTTTCCCAACGCAAACTGACTCTGCTACCCGCGCGTGATCCATCCTTCCCGCTCCCCTTCCCCCTCCCACCCCAGGGGAACCCATCCTTGTGTCGCATTTTCTTCCCCAGAAGCGGGTCCCTCTCCCCAGGCCATCCCGTCTGGGCGGGCGTTTGATGGGACCTCGGCGCGGCCGCAGCCCCCTCCGCGCCCGCGGAAGGGCCGGCGGAGAGGGGGCCGCCCCCGAGGTCGCAGGGTGGCAGCGAGCTCTCCGCCGGGCTTTCAGGTCCCCGCCTCTGCATCCCCCACCCCGTTTCTCTTCCTCCCCCCCTTTCCCCGCCACCCCCCCTCCCAGCTCTGGCAGGCGGCAAGAAATTGTTTCAAAAGTCGGATGGTGGGGCTGAATTTAAAGGGGAGGAGGGAATAAATAGAAGGAGATGATGAATCATGTTAACTTTTGACTGTAGAAGTAATGATGGAGTTGAGAGAAGCTGCGGGGAAATATGTCATCTAATCCCAGGTCTACCAGAGTCCGTTTTATTAAACATCGTAGTGCTGGAAATATACTGCTGTAAAAGCCACTGAGTGCTTGAAAGTATCCGACATCAGGCAAATATAGAGGTTGGAGGAACGAGTGTAAAACGAACGCGTGTACAAACCAACCACACGACCGTGAAAACCCCAAGTGGATTAGATAAATATAAATACATGTGCATTAAAAAAAAAAAAAAAAAAAAAAAAAAAAGGCATAGTAAAACTGTAGCTGCTGCATTCACGCAAGGAGAACAGACAGCGTGTGCATGTTTGTGTGCAATGCCAAAAAGAGCAGCCTTAAGGTTGACCTGCTGCAATCTGCACTGAGCTCCTCAGACAATAGACAAGTTCAAATGTCAAAAAATCTAATAATAAAAACCAGAGCTGCCAAACTGCACGAACTGTTTTCTGGTGCATCACAATTATTCACCCTCTTATCCTCTAAAAGTCTGCCAGTCCTTATGCGTGTAAAAGAAAATCTATGTAATGCATATGGATTTTTTTTTTTTTCACATGTGAAACGCTATTGAGATGGCAAGCACGCAAATCAGAATGATATCATGTCTAATAAAAGCGGGGCTAAGGTTTTCACAGTCTCTTTTAAAAGACTTCAACTTGTAAATCCCCTTTTTATGTCGCTACATGCACAATTATTCTTATAAATAAAAATCTACGTGTTCAAGGAGCTGGGCTGGAACTATATATCCCTCTGATTTTAACGTCGGTGGGAGCATTAGGTTTCCATCATATGTAATGTGTCTACGTTGAGCTCAAGTCAACAGACAGATTGTTCCATTCATTTGGCAACTTTCATTACAGTCCGTGTGAGGTGAACTCTAAGCACGACACGTTGGGTAATATCAGAATTATGCAGCTGGGAAAGAAAGGACCCCTATTTTAAAAGCTATCTTGCTTTGCATGTGCAGTTCTGTGTTATTGGTCTCATTTATTACAGAACCCGAAATGCTTTGTTATGCTCAAAACAATAAATAAGGTTCCGTCTGAAGCCTTCAGAATAAAAGGTATGGAGAAATGATCCGCCTGCCTATTGTGTTTATCGTTATTATCGCCAGCCTTTAAAAGTAATCTGTATATTCTCCTGTTTTCTCCAGATGGGTTAATGTAATATCCCTAGCGCAGTTATCAACGTGGTCTTAAGAACCATGAACTACAGTATGGGGTAAGCTTGGAAAATCCAGAGCAGATCACATTAGCCAAGAACGCCACATATCTGGAAGGCAGTCAACTTCACGTTTTCAGCTGCCTGCTGTATTATGCACGAATGTGTTTTACATATAGCAGACTGTATACGGAATATGTCTTTATGTTTAACATTTTAATTTGTAAATGCTAATTAGGCAGTTGGTCTCCACGGTTATAATAGTAGATACCTAATCATTTCCCACTATAAGTAAATGAATACTAAATACGGTAAACATTCACTTTCTTTTCCCTACCTCCTCGACAGCATCGCTTCTACATCCATTTTCCAAAGGCGTCCATTCGGACAAAATTGGCATTTACTAAAAGAAGGGGGATGAAAAAAAAAGAATGCTCCCTGTAGCACTCTTACCACGAGGGTGCCGTTTCAGGCACAGCCCAGGCAACTCGAGCCCAACCGGACTTTCCCAAAGGCAGCCAGCAAAGTTAAGTTTTGCCGAATTAACTTGTTGCTCATTGTAGCGTTAGTTTTTCTGTTCGCTTGCTGTACCCCGAGGTCTGCTGCTGCTGGCCGGTCATACAGCAGATTCTAACTCTTGTTTTCTTTACAGTATCACGCAGGTTACACTGGAAGGTTGGGAGAAGGAGGGGGCAGGGGAAAACTGGGGGGGAAATCTGCTCTGTCCCAAACGCGGGATCCTGAAGTTTTCTGGGCTCTTTTGAATCATAACCCGCCGCCCGCCCCAGGGGCGAGGGAAATGGTCGCTAAACTACGGCAAATCTCAAGCAAGCGACCCTGTTTCTGAGGAGAATTACTCTCTGGAAATGTGTTTTACTAGGATGGAATATTGCTAGTGCTTGTTACGCCAAATGCGGTGGGTGGAAAGTTTTGTTCATGTAAATATCTCAACCATTTTCCCTCACGGTCAATACACACGGAGACTTGACTCCGTTTTCCAAATGAAAACCCACGAACACTTTAAATGAAAAGTGTATATTGTTGTAGGTCGTTTCTCTGATTACTTTTATCTTTTTTTATTATTATTTTTTTTACACACACACCCTTTTTGTATGTGTGTGTGTGTGTGTGTGTGTGTATGTGTTAGGGGTTTAGGCGGGGAGTTCATCTTGCCAGGATCTATCATATTTATGGGCTGTGTGATTTCCAGGGCTCCAATTGGTCTTTCCTTTATGGAGGCAAGGAATAAAACTTTCCCAGTCGCACGGAAACTGCTGGGGCTCCAGCACAGGGGGGAAAAAAGTGGCTTCAACCCCCCCGACGCCGCCGTTTTCCCCCCCTCCCCGGGGGCTGCCCGGGACATTCCCCTTGCAGGTGCGTTAGGGGATGCTGCAGCCACGCTTGTCCGCCAGTGCCGGCGGGAGGGGGGGGCGGCGGGAGAAGTAACCGTGCTTGGGCAGGAATACCACAAAAGATCTATATTTCTCACTTCTATCCCTTCTTGCAAACTCTTAGGGAGGGAAGGGGAGAAAAGAAGCGGGCTCTTCGGGTAAGGGGCTGAGACCGTGTGTGTTTGGGAAGGGACAGAGCTGTGTCGAGATAAGCTGTGGTCGCCCTCGGTGGGGTTGTTTTCAGTTGAGGTTAACGCCTGCGAGTGTCCCGGACGGCGAGAACTTGTGCCCGGTACCCGACCAGTGCGCGGCCGGTGAGGGCAGGGCGGGAGGCGGAGGGAGCCCGGCGCTGGGTCTCGCACATAGAGAAGTTGGGGAGCGGGGGGAGTGGCCAGCTTGGGGG